AAAAAACCTTTCTGAGAATTCCACCTGAGTTGTGCATGTTCTTGGGCACCGACTGAGCTGAGCTAGAGTAAAGGAAATAAAAGGTAAGAGACAACAATGAGAAGAGTGTAAGTATTTACCTGGGCAATCAATAATAAAACAGAATACAAATCATAACAATATATACACTGTTGATGGTTTTTGTTGTGCAAACGTTCCGAAAAATAAGCTAATAAGACCGTCTCCGAAAAAGAACTGCAAGGTCTGCAAGTCCTTTCATCTTGTATGACTTCGCGGTTAGGTAAATTACTGAACAACCACAAAATTCGCAATTTTTTTAAATCAAATCACATAATTAGAATTACAGATATTTGATTACTTCAAAAGAATGATTAAGATGCCTGCAACGCAGGTGTCATTTCTGTTGAAAACTTCAAATTTCACGTCGATAATTTTCTGATCTTAATATAATATAATGTCTCCTCAATATTGATTCGTCTTTTTTCCTGTCACAAGAGAAAATAGTGTATTGTACACGTGCAAATTATTGGATTTTAGCTCACTGTTTTCTGTCTCCCTCCGTTACGCGTCGGGAGACACAACACAATCTAGAGCTAAAATCAACTATTTTTTTCCTTGTATTATTGGCCAGCGTAGCCTCGTGGTCACAGCGTCAAGAAAGTGTTTGGGATCACACGTTAAAAGGTAAGACCCCCGTCATTCCTTGCTCGCAAAAGTCTCTTGAAGACTTCTGAGGTTTGCTCGTAAGGGGGCAAGCGAATGATGGATAAGAACAATTTTAGAACAATTTTTTAAGGTACCACATTAAAATTCCAGTTGACACGAGAAACGTTGTTTTGCTATATATATTATTTCTAGAAAATATATTTTAGTTGATTATTCAACAACAGACTTTTATTATTTCATTTTCTACTTCTTTTCAGTTTGACTAACCATAAAAGCGTGTTTTCTTTTTTTTTCGAACTACTATTTATTTTCTACTTCTATATATATATATTTCTATCTATAGTTTTTTAAAACACAAACACAAACATTACAAATCTCGTTCGACATATTGAATCCGTCATTTGAAATTTTCTAATTATGACGAAGGATTCATAATCTCCGACCCCGAAAACACCAAGATACAAATTTTGAATAGAATCGGATCATAATATTAGAAAACTCGTTTAGCATATTGGATCAGCAATCTTGAATTTCTCAATTTCAATGATTGAATCATAATTTCTAACCTCAAAAATCTCTAGATACAAATTGGAGATAGAGTCGGATCATAATTACAAAGCTCGTTAGCCATATACTATCCGCCATCTTGAATTTCCTGATTTGATTTGAGCACTATATTCTAATTTTTTTTATCGCTTGGAGCGCACGAAAGGGAATCCCTATAATGTTCAAACAACATCGTGCGTTCCTAGGGATGATAGGTATAGGAGGTAGGTATTGGAATTGAATTTCTTTTGAACTTATGGAGATTATATGTTGTTGGGAATACTTCCTCAGGCAATGAATTTCAGAGCATAGCCGTTCTATGGATGAAGAAGTTTTGATAAAGTGCTGTTCGACATCTTTCGAGATTGACAACGAAAGGATGTGCTGACTGGGCTTGTCTAGTTCGTCTGACTGGTATTGCTAGTGAAGGGATGATAGCAGAGATTTCTGAAGAACATTTCCCGTGGAAGTATCGATAGAAAAGTGGAAGGTCGCCGACCTTTCTTCGATGTTCCAATGTTGTCAAAGAGTGAGTGAGTGTGGCGTCACCCACCAGGCGGATGGCTCTTCTCTGGATGGAATCTAAGAGCATCAGCGTATGTTTTGGTGCTGAACCCCATATGTGGGAACAGTATTCTAGAACAGGCCGTATCTACGCTTTGTAGATCATGAGGAGCTGTTGAGGTGTAAAATAGCTTTTCGCACGGAACAAGAATCCGAGTTTTTGTGAAGCAGCTTTTGCGATGGATCTGACATGATTATCCCATGGAAGAGTGTTGCTGATGGAAATACCGAGCATAGATATAGTGGGCTTGGGGGGGTGGTGGTGCCAGACATTATAATGTCGGGCATACTGAGTTCCGCCTTTCTAGAGAAATACAGGCTTGAGTTTTGGTGGCGTTGAATACAACTAGGTTGTTGGTTCCCCAGGCTGTGATTTCAGCAAGGTCTTTATTGACAGCATTGACCAGCCTGCGCCGTGAGTTCTTAGTTTCCTGGGAAGAAATCGGAATTCTGGAAGAGAACGCAGAATGGAGAGTACTATCATCTGCAAAGCTGTGGATGAAGCAAGTTGTTACTCCCAATAGATCATTGATATGAAGAAGGAACAATGTTGGTGCCAAAATTGATCCTTGTGGAACGCCGAAATTGATGCCAATTGTATCAGACGATACACCGTCCACCACCACATGGAGCGATCTGCCTGAAAGAAAACTCGATAAGAGATGGCATAGCTGAGGTGGTAAGCCGTATGATGGTAGTTTGTGGAGGAGTCCTTCGTGCCAAACACGGTCGAATGCTTTCGATATGTCGAACGCGACAGCTAGAGATTCCCAGTGTTTTTCTAATGAAGCTTGCCATAAATGGGTGACGTAGGTAAGTAGATCTCCAATAGATCTTCGGTGGCGAAAGCCGTATTGTCTATCATTGATGATTCCCGAGCTCTCCAGATATTTGATAAGCTCAATATTGAAGGCTTTCTCCATCACTTTGGAGATTACTGATAACAGGGCAATGGGCCTGTAGTTGTTGGGCAGGTTCTTGTTCCCTTTTTTTTGGAATTGGTTGGACTCTAGCTGTCTTCCAGCATGATGGAAAAATACCCGACCTGTACGAGACGGTAAACAACTTGCAGAGAATCGGTGTTAATTCTGGTGCACATTTTTTAGGATAATGAGTGGAATTCCATCAGGACCGTTAGCCTTGTTCGTTTTGAGACCAAGCAAAATTCGTCTGATAGTGCGTTGACGGAAGACGATTTCGGGCATTCGACTCTCAACGGATGGAATGTCTGGCGGCACTTATCCTTGTGAATCTGAAGTAGAGTTTGCTGCGAAAATCTCTGCGGAAATATTTGCTTTCTCCTGCGATGTTGTTGCTAATGTGCCGTCGGATTTGGACAGTGGTGGAAATGAACTATTAGTGAAATTTCTTCCGACCGCTTTAGCAAGGGACCAAAACGAACTGGAGCCATTGGGACAATCTATGAGTTTCGATCTTATCTTGGCATTGTATGTTTCTTTCGAAGCATCTATTGTTTGGCTGCAGTTATTTCTGGCATCAACGTATTCTGCTCTAGTCGCGAGGTTAGGGTTTTTGCGCCAGCGATGGTAGGCTGTTTGTTTCAAGGCAACAGTTCTAGAACAGTTTCTGTTGAACCAGGGTTTCGATAGTGATGATCTTTTCGAAGAATGAGGTATGTATGTGTCCATTCCGAGCATGATGATCTCGGATATTTCCGTAGCACACTGTGAAGGGTCCTCAGAGTCAAAGCATACTCTATGCCAAGGAAACTCGGAGAAAAACATGCGAAGACCGTCCCAATCTCCTGAATTGTAATGCCATATAAGACGTGGGGGTGCCGGAGCAGTTGATGGAATGAAAAATGGGCAGGTTGTGGAGATGAGTGTGTGGTCAGAATTGCCAAGTGGAGCTCGTACATCTATGGTGTAGGGTGCTGAATTATTAGTGAGGAATAAGTCAAGTATGTTAGCTGAATGGTTATTGGCATCGGGAATTCGTGTGGGTTCTTTGATAAGCTGCTCTAAGCCGTGAGTGATGGCGAAAGCTTCGGCTTGTCGCCCAGCTTCATCCGTTCTGTTGTGTGTACGAGCCAAGCAGTGTTGTGTACATTGAAATCGCCCATGATGATGATTTCAGCTGCTCGATGGTTCTGTTGAATTTGGCCAAGCTTCAGAGACCAGAATTTGAAGAGCTCTTCATAGGTTGGATCATTTGGTTATAAGTAGAGATAACAAAGGTATTTGATCTGTTTCTGGCTATCGAGCTTGAACCACATGACATCAAACTTATTTGGTTCCAAAGTTTTTTCTCGTTGACATGAGAGATTCGTTTTAGAGTACAGGCAGAGACCTCCCTTGAATCTGAAACGTGTGTGGAGTTCGTACCCAGGACAGAGCAGATAGGTCGTATTGGTGGATGAATTGACCTGTGTCCCAGTGAGAGCCAATATGTCTGGCTTTTCAATTTGAAGGTGTCGATGGACATCGTTGATGTTCTTACTTAGACCTCGGATGTTACATAGGTCTATCTTGCGGACTTTTTCAGTCGATGGTGAACCTCCTCTAGCACCTCTCTCCCGGAAATCCGAATGGAGAGGTATTTTACTTCCGGATAATTTCACTTGAGGAGAACTCATCATCGCTTATTCTGTGTAGAGAAGGGAGGTTGGCGTGGGAGGAAAAGGAAATTGGGTTGGGTTGGGTTGGCCGGAACATCAACCAGCTACTGAAACACGGGTAAGTATACCCATTTCACAGCGCCTATGGTTGATGTGGTGGTATCGCACCGGGCGATGGCGTTAACCATCTTCCACCTATTGGCGTCCTTTTAGTCGCCTTCTACGACAGGCAGGACTTACCGTGGGGTTATTCTGATCCGACCACCACATTCTTCATAGTTCTCTTAGGTTTCCAGATAATTTCAATAAAAATTATATTATTTTTAGGTGATAATTATACAATACCTTCCTGCTTAATGAATAAATTGGCATACCAGAGATTTTCCACAGTACAGAAATAATTTACCCACATAACTAAATCGTTTCTACCTAACGATAGTTGGACGATCGAATTTCGACAATCGGCCATATTTTACCCATTTTCACTAGCGCCGCCTACGAACCGGTAAAGAAACTAAAACTTTTGCTTCATCTTTTAACATGGAGGTGGTTCATCTTACTAGTGTAATCAAGGATAACAAGTGAGAAGTAGCTGGTTTTGAATATTGAAATGAATTTGATATGTACTATGTAGATTTGACCTTACCTATTGAGCAAATATTGTGCAGTGATATGCATATGATCTTCATTTTGCGGCAATACACTCACAATATATTTGTCTTGAAAATTTGCTGTTACCGTCTCATACAACCAAGACATGAATAACTTATCTATATGATGATTCGCCACAAGCATGGAAGCCAACTGGTCATAATATAGGCCCATTAGTTCTGAACATCCAGAAGTGCAGGTAATAGCTAGCTCTAGAAGTGCACCAGCCTCTTTAGCTGGACCTCTTGGTAGATCCATTATACTTTTGATCGTTCCTTTAGGTGAAGGAGTAGCGAAGTCAGTGTCTTTTGGAATTTGAACTATATTACGTGCCATTACAACTGCTGATATTATTCCTCTGAAAAATGTCATAATATAGTCCCTCAACATATTGTCAAAAGTTTGAAAAAATACTAGGTGAATATAATAACAACAAATAAAACATTAGCCAATCAGTTATTGGATTTTTACGAAGACCCCAGTAATCGCGGTTCCTATCAAATCAGGAATCCGAAATATACAGTGTCTTTCAATTTGAATGAACATGCATTTAAAATCTGTAGTAGATAGGAAACACGTTAAGAAAGGGTCGACTCTAGGGTGTAATTTTTAGAGAGTTAGTGAAATAATAAACTACTCAACACTAATTTCCTCGCACACCAAAATGTCGCCCCTGTTATAATGTGAATAACTTTTTTCAGTTCAGAACAATTTGAATTTGGTTCACACTGTGTGCGTGAGAAAACACAATTGAAACATGTTCTTGCAAAAACATCAGACAATTTCTCCTCTGTAATGCATGGCCCGTAACCAACGTTACAAGAATCACAGTAAGTGACTGACAAGTCAGGTTGGACGTCGTTTTCGAATCATAAACAGATTTTGATAGTTTCGATGCCCCATCTAACGCCCGACCAGTTGGAACTGATTCCACAAATGAGGGAACAAGGGTTATCTTCCCTTCAAATCTGCTGAACACGACAGTCCGATCCATTCAAAGGGCTTATCTCCGACACGAATTGTTTGGTTATTACTGTCGATTCGTTCGGCGCATTATTGCGACTGAAAACTTTACGTAATTGGCAAACTGTTTTCGTGAAACTTTCACCGTTTTTGAAATGCGTTTTTACAATAAATAAACGTTGTTTGCTTGAATCTTCTCCATATTCTTGAATCGCATGTTATGTACGTGACAACTGTTAAAAAAATCACTTTATTGAAAAAATCAAAATCCGTTGCTCTTGTTGGTACACTATTTATGATGAGCCTCAGCTGGTCGGTTTTGTCAGTCACTCATTGTGATTTTTGTAACGTTGGTTACGGCGGGCCATGCATTACAGAGGAGAAAATATGATCTAATATTTTTGCAAGAACATGTTTCAATTGTGTTTTCTCATGCACAATTCTTGACTACTGAGAGCGAGGAAAATTTGGACGCATCCAGAATGGATTGTTTTTCCGAGAACAAGTTGATTTTCATTCAATTCTCCTCCCAACCGAGATTCGAAGGGCGTTCCAGATTTGGGCCACTTTCAAGAGAACTGTAGATCTTTGATAGCCATCTTGAGTCAATTCTGATATCCAGATCTCTTCATCTGAAGTTTCATCTTCAAAATGAGCCTAAGATCTCCAAAATCGGTTGACGTGGAAAAAAGTTATGACTGCAAAACCAACAAGTTGATTTTTTGAGATCACTCTGTAAATAAGAGAGATAGGAAGTTGATTCGCGAAATATCTCGAGGTAATGAGATCATCTTCATGCCTCTGTTGTTGAAGTTGAGAAAAAATTTGTTTTCACCATTTGAGAGCCTTTTGAATATTCCGAAATTTCGCACAGTGTCGGAAAACACCATGTAGAGATTTTATGTGAATACCCTTTTGTTTCAATGAAGTACGAGATTATAGCTGAAGGACTGGGCTATAGAACAGTGTGAACCAAATTCAAATTGTTCTAAACTGAAAAAAGTTATTCACATTATAACAGGGGCGACATTTTGGTGTGCGACGAAATTAGTGTTGAGTAGTTTAATTGAATTTCGGATTTTACCACCTTCATGCATATAGCGATGTTTTTATCAAATAGAGTAAATTTGACTCCTAGTCTATAAGAAACTTGATATTTATTTGTTATTTAGTATGTCCTTTCCCGAATGTGATCTAGTAGGTCTTGGTTTTTGAAGAAAGTGCACGCCGCTAAGCTCCAAAATACAACTTTCGACTCACCACAATGAAAAAAATCGTCAAAATCACTGCATTAATAAAATAATCATGAGGGTGGCCCACTTCCAAATGGGTCAATCTGTATGGCACACTAATTTGAGCATATAGTTTTTTGCCATATCTTCGTATAGTCTTTTATCATTTCCCTAGTATTGTTGAAATCATAATAATAATCCCTTATTGATCGGTTTGTTCAATTGAATAACTAGTGAGGATCGCTCAGCACAGAGTGTAAATTAATACTTGTGAAAAAGTCAAGGGTTGATTCCTTGTTATATTTTATGTAAAACAGTGCAAATAAACAGTTGTCCTAACTTGCTTCGTTTTCGAGGAACAGGTTAACAATGTTTCCATAAAAAATCGTATTTTATGAATTAATCAGAAGTCTTTTCTCAATTTCAATCGAACTCAGTAGTTGTGTTGATAGTAACACGGCTTCTTTTGGTGTCAGATTCGAAAAAAAATGATTTCTGTGACATCACAGTGGGTTTTCTTATTGACATTTATGGTTAATATTATTGCACGCCAATGGTTTTTATGAGTTTTATATTCTTATTAGATTGAACAATACAACTTTCTTATTCCTTGTGTGAATTTTCTATCCCACTGAGTGTTTATGGAAACAATGTGAATTCGATTTAAGAGGGCATATTCCGCTGCTCTTGCCAATAAAATAGGTACCGCTCCCAAGTTCCCCAATGGTTATGGACTATCCTAGAGGCTCAATTATTTTTTCTGGGTAGTCAAAGGTCCAATCGACGCATCTTATCGAATCGATTTAACTTTTTTTTTGTAGACCAATTTAAAAACACCAGTAAAGAAGTGCGTTTTTGACCGATTTTGTGATTATTTTTTACCTTATGGAATCGAAAATTGAAAAACTAGTCGATAACATGCACAGATCAGATGTAGGTCTCCTTCATTTACTGAAATCTTATTTGTTTTTATCATGGGAATCGGCGGAGGGACCGTGAACAACAATTTTCGCTGTGGACGCGGCACTTAACAAAAATAAGCTCCTCCCATAAAGTTCAAGAGCGTTATTGATAGTTAATGGTCCTATGATAAAATATGGTATTTATTATTTTCACGAAGAAGTCTGTAATCGAATTTGTCTTTACATAATAGGTACCTATCAATATTTCCTTCAATATACCAAAGACTTATACCTGATTAGCAGCATTAGCATGTGCGATGCAGAGTAGACGTATTTGCCTATGCTCCGGTCAGAAACGTTCATACAAACACGGAAAGAGTGATTAAAGTTGCAAAATTTATTCATCGAATTTGCAAACAAGTGATAGACGTGTGAAACTCAAAAAAAATTGGAAATGGTTCTCTTACAAGTTACGGATGAAATAAAATCCGTTGTCAATGCAGCGCTAAGCAAATATCTGAAAGATCAATCGTTTATAAAATTTGCGATTTGCGAAAACGTATCGACAGCAGTTATTAAAACAATGGAACAAAAACTTAGAAAAAGTAATGAACCTACAAACCGAATTCTCTCAACTGAAAAAAGATATGGAAGGTAAAATAATAGAATGGACATGTAAATCAAATGTCTTCAGTAGGGAAATAATGGATTGGAACGGAAATGTGACATCCTGGAACAAGCTACGAAAATTAACAATATCAGAATTTTCAACTGTCCTGAAAAAAACAGAGAAAATCTTGAAGATGAAGTAGTTGAACTCTTCAATTCAAAAATGTGTAAATATGTCGAAAAACGATATTGATGTATGTTATAGAATTGGAAAGAAAGAAGGAAATGAGGCTAGGGTATATTTCTGAAACTGAGAAATAATGAGATGAGACAGGATATTTATAGAAGAAATAAATTATTGAAAGGGACCGGACTCGTTATTACGGAAGATCTGACAAGCCTGAGAGTAGAACTATTGAACAGGTCCATAGAAAAACCTCAATGAAAAATGTCTGGACTGATTCGGGAAATATTTTTTTTGATTTTTATAACAAGTTGTTCATTATTAAATCAAAAAGTGATTTCGAAAAGTTTGTAAGTGAGATTTCACGTTCAAATTGATTATGTTTGTAAATTCAAAATTAAACTATACTCATTATTATGTAACCATAACTATATAGCATCAAATAGAAAACAATAATGATGAACAAATAAGTGAAAAGTTATAATAATAATTAGTTAACCGTGAGCACCTAGCTTCACTTGCTTAGCATAAAATCGTCAATGTTAGAGTTCTTGGACTTATTGGATGATCAAAAGGAAATTAAAACGACGGTTTTTGGGAATCTACATGAATATTTCGATTCAACAGAAATTAGAGAGAGAGGTTGACATTCGACAACAGTTCTACATTACATTACATAAAAAAAACTATAATGAGTTATTAGTTTATTTGAAGAAAATAACCGAGTTCATAGATGTGTTAGTTTTATCAGAAACATGGAGTATCCAAACGGTGAGTGATTTTCATATACCCAATTTCAACCTTTATATCAATAGCTCAGTTAAGAATCAAAATGACGGCCTGCTTGTGTACATAAAAGTTTCCTGCCGAGGAAAAAGTTGTTAATTTGACAGATACAAATTTATTGAGGTTATGCATGAATATAAAGAATAAAGTAATAGGTATAACAGCTTCTTATAGACTTCCATCGATTGATACATATATCTACCTAAACGATCTAGAAAATTATTTCACCGATTTACAAAAAGAAGATATAGAAACATTCGTAGGAGACATAAATATAAATCTAATGGATACATTATCCGATGAAACTCATGCTAATTTGAATTTGATGTCTGAAAATGGCTTTTCATCATACATAAATGAACCAACTGGGGTAACAGAAAATTCAAGTAGTACCATACATCATTTCTTTGTTAGATGTAACCAATTTAATATGAAATTTAATCCAGCTGTCTTTCACACTAATCTGACTGACCATTATTCAATTTTCTTAGGTATATCAAATGACAACACGAATGAAATTTTCACCAACAAACCACGTGAAAAATACATGAAATATACTGATCTTGAAAAACTCAATGCAATTGTATCGAATGCTAACTGGAATGAGGTCATGAACTGTATAGATTCACAACTTGCCTACGATGAATTTATCAATAAATTAGGAACTTTTATAGATTCCGCT